GCATAAACACATTTCATTACACCAAATACACAAAATACTGTTCTTTTTAGCAGCATCATATGACCCCTTTAATCATTCAGCTTTCACTATGAGGACACAGGAATACTGAATTAAATACATCATCAATGATTAGCACACTTAAATGGGTAGTTCATTCAAAAATGAAAATTCTGTCATCATTTGCTCACCCTCTAGTTGTTCTTTTTTTTGTGCTCAACAGAAGAAAGAAACTCATACAGGTTTGGAACAACTTAAGGGTGAGTAAATGGTGACAGGATTTTCATTTTTGGGTGAACTATCCCTTTAAGATTGTAGGTAAAGAGTTATCAAGGGACATTTTGTCCAAAGAGGCAGGCAAAAATATAGACAAATATTTAAGATAGTGCCTCAACAGAGGGCTTGATTATTTGTTTTGCACCCTTTCTTTCACTGACATCAGATGATAATCCCACCACCAAATGACCAAGGGTGGAGATGCACTTGCACTCACACACAAGATAAGGAATGCTGTATCTATCAATTGACCACTCAGTGGGGTATTTTAAGGTCATCTCTTTCAAAGGATGATGTGACTCGATCTCTCTATCCATCTCTGTTTCTCTTGGCTCCACCCCTCCTATCTTCCTTCTAATACACACGCGCACTTAGGTAAACAAAAACAAACCCATACACAAATATAATTTTGAATCAGGAGCTCAATTGGCCTCTTCTGGAGAAGCTGATCATTGATTTTTTTAATCCTTGGTTTGAGTGTCTCCACCATTCTCTTCATTTTTCCTCAGACTTCCATTTTGTTCTTTTAATGCAGCAGGAAAATACCGAAAGTTCCTGCAAAGATGTATGTGTAATGTCACTGCATTACTGTCATACCGTTTTTCTTACATATCTTTCATATAATTGGTCTCCTTCTAACCATTTTTAATGAATAGGTCACTAAAAATGGTTCACTGAAAAATAACATACTGTACAGCATGTGCATGGAATCAGTAAAGTGCAGGTGAGTAAATAATGCCAGAATTTTAATTTAAAGGGACAGTTCACCCCAAAATTACAATCTTATTAATTTACTCACCCTGATGTTGTTATATGACTTTCTTCTGTGGAACATAAAATAATATATTTTGAAGATTGCCATTGTTTTTTTTTTTTTTGTCCAAACAATGTTCATCACCCCACTACCCACAAAACTTTCCTTCTTTCCCACAAACAAACAACAACAAAAACACTTTCAATCTTGCAATCTGTGTTATTGTTCTCATCCTCTTATTTTTCCCCCAACAGGCCCTGGTATTCGTTCTGATTATATTGACACATTTCACTTCCTCCTGCTCCCCTGCTAATTGCGACACAGATCGACTGACTTGTAACAGACGATTCATCTGGTTCATCCCCATGTCTTCATATCAGATCACATCAAAAATCTGCTCTCCCGCGATGAGCCCCTGACTGAGCTGCAGTCCACAGCTGGGTTTCTTTCTCCCCTGAGGCTATCACTGTAAGACCTCACACAATTTCCTCTGGACCAGCTGCTCTTCATGATGGAACACAGAATGAGCACTGATGGGGACTATATGCAGGCTTGGGGGTTATCTGGATATCAGAATCTACTTTGAAACTGTAGCTTCCAGAGCTATAAGATACTCATGATTTAAAGTATTCAAACTACAGTCAAGCTACTCTTTTGTGAGTAGCCTCTATGTTAAGACTGTGTCTTGAGAAGTAGTCTGATCAACTTGCTAATACTAATAATGTTTGATTATTAGCTTGTATTGTTCAACACAATGTGAACAACAACAGCAATATAGCGACTGTCATGCTACACACTGTCTACTTGTAGTTAGTTACTCTTCAACACTGCTGGCTATGACAATGTACTGTATGTAGTTACACAGTAACCATTGACAGATAGGATAAATGTGTGTATCATACTGAGTGGGTTTGTATGAAAGTTAATAGGTTGTCTCGCTGTGACAAATTAGCTAAATAATAGTGGCGACTGACCAGATGTATTTCTATCACGGTGAAGCTGATGTTCTGTGTAATTGGAGCTTCCAAGTGCTAATATTGCAGGAAGTTAAATTAGTGTCAGGGCAAGACCTCTATGCACGTTCCTGTGTTCCAGTCGCCCTGGGCAACAATGGCAGAGAATGCAAGAGACGGCACAGTTGGTTATGTCCATCACAAAGCATTGACTTTTCTCTCTTTTCCACTGAAGAGCCCGGGGACAGAGCAGCCATGAGATGGGGTGCACCTGATGCTTATTGTGCTTTCTCACAGCTGCTATTCAGTCTATACTTTGCTGAAACTGGTCTTCTTTTATTTGAGCACCAGGTGTTTGAAGTCCAGGCATGATGCGACAGCATGAATGCAACAAAAATGATACGGTTATCACAGGTCACAAGCTATTGGACATAACACTTCTTCTACACAGCCTGATATTTTCTTTCACCACCACTATAAAGAAACAAGTGTCATGCAGGCAACTTTGGGGGGAAAACAAACAAACAAACGAACAAACAAATGCTGGAGAAATCACCCATTTATGCCTAAATTTAGTAGTCAAGTCGCACCTTACACATAACATTTGCTGAAGACTAACAAATATCTCTGGAACACAAAAGGAGTAATTAGCAAAATGTCAAAGCTGCTCTTTTTTTAAATCTCTGGTGTCTGCTAAAGAAAAAAAACAGGATGTGCACAGGGATACTGTGAAGCTGTAGGCCTTATTTTATAAGTGGTGCTCAACTCTGTGGTTTTTTTTTATTTTTAAATCTGTAAGCCTTATTTAAGTAGTGCTCAACTGTGGCTCACTGTTGTACCTGGAAACGAGCGTAAACCTCCTAGAGCTCCATTCTGTTACCTTAGAAACATAACCATATGCTGACACTTGGTGGGAAGTGTGAGAGAGTGTATAGGAGAACAATTATCCTCATTCAACCTGCTGTCATGTCAGATACAGTTTCCACCCCCGTTTGTGTGTGTCCACAAATAAGTATTTGTCGTCCCATACCTAGATGTGTTCACAGTAGGTGAGTCTAACTCCCTAACAGTATATGTGTGAGAAGAAAAAGAAAGACAGAAGGGAAAACAATAATTGAGTGCAATTAAAGTATGTGCTGCTCATTCATCAAGGAAGCAGCAGGGCATACAGTACAGCTCAGGATAGGACTTCCAATTGTCAGTGTGTGTCATTGTTCATGTTGTCATTGTTCACTTGTTTTCTGCATATTCTTTAGCAGTATATGCAGTTTTTTACTGCATATATTGTTAGAGATATATTGGAAATAATTTTTCCAGCAACACTAAACCTCCTCTTTCAAAACGTACTGTGGCAGTAGCATGGTCTGTGATGATGTCAGATGGTGTCAGGTTTTTTTTTTCTCTCCATAGGTTTAACAAAAGAAAGTAAAAAAATTTCCAAGCACCACTAGGAAACCATGCATACCCTTGGTAACACCATGGTAACTTTTTGTAAGAACAATGATTTTGTGATGCAGTTGCCCATTTATAGCTTTATGTAAACCATATAGGAAGCCGCACATGACACTGAATTATGCTGCTAAGAAGTATCCCGCATTCTAGTATACTTGATATCACAAAGCAGGATGTCAGTGATGTGTGTGTAATTGAGCAGATGAGTAGGAGAAATAGAGCACACAGTTTGCTGCTGATATCAATAGCAGCATTTCTGAGTGTTCACAGTGTGCTTTGTGAAGGCCAAGGGTTAATGTGTTGTTTTCCTGTATCCTCTTATGCTGTTTTTCACCAATTCACACCGAGCTGACAGAGGCTGGAAATGGCATCAGCCTCCATTCTTCACAGCTAGCAGCTGATAACAAACATAATCATCAAGTTATTTTTTCTTTCACTCACAGAAATTGTCATTTAGTGCAGATCCCCATCTCTGCAGACAGATTAATTCTTTTGACAATTAAATTAATCTGCAAGTCAATAAGGACAGCAGACATTGTATTTGAGAACAGAGATGCCACATAACTATTGAAATCTCAGTGGGAGCCAATTTGGGGTCACTGCACTGACTTGAAAATGGGCTCACATGTTGTAAAAGTTTGTCTCACTTACATACTGGGGTTGTATGCCATTCAGAACTGAACTCACAATGCCTTAGGGCCATAGGGAGGGGTAGATGAATAGATATGCAGCTAGACAGATAGACAGATAGATAGATAGATAGATAGATAGATAGATAGATAAGATAGATAGATAGATCTAAGGAAGCCGATTCGTCAATTCTGAATTTAGCACAGCCCTGTCACATACACACATATGCAGAACTTGCCTGCAGATAGTGGAGTGATCGTTCCTTCATTTTGGGATCTAGAGGAACCAATGCCTTCTCATATCCTCCTCCACCTCCTCCGCCACGGGAAGATGGATAGACTTCTCTAGCCTGACTGACCGTCAAGGCCGACCATGTGCTCCTCTTCAGAGAGTGTCCGCTGTCCCCTGCCATGGCTATGTTGTTGCAAGCCAGGCACTCTCCTGGAGGTGGACCCTTAGATTTCCTCAAGGTAAGCTCCTGGATGGCAGCATCCAGGGTCTCGTGTCCGGTGGGATACCCACGTCCCCCCCTGCCCGCACCCACCAGAAAGCTGCTGTCACTGTCCAGGTTGTCATCGGAGCTCCACCATCCAGCTGTTTTGCTGCGGTGGCGGGAGCTTCGAGACTCATGGCGGGAGTCTCCACTCTTACTTCGTTCTCGACTCTTGTTCCGACGGGCTGAGCGAGACTGGTGCGTTCCTGAATAATGATGTCCGCCGCTTTCCTCGCCACCGCTGCGGTGCCCCCTATCTCTGTCCCGGTACTCTCCCCCACGGGTACCATTAAACTCTCGTTTAGAGGGCGTCTCCAGTGAATGTGACTTGGCAAAGAGACGCTGAACCGAGTTCACCAGATGCCGTATGCGACTTGGACTCTCGCTGCGTTGTTCCCCACTGGCCGTGCGTTGGTACTGCAGGGTGTGGAAGCCGTCTGGGTGGAAGGGCAACTGTTTCTCGAACTGATCCAGAAGGTTTGGTGGGATACGGTGCATCTTTCCCCCATGACCATGGCCGTGCCCTGCCGAGGTTATACACTCTTCACACGTCGAGTCGTAGGGCTGTGGCTGACTGGGGTGTGAACGAGGGAAGGTGCCTCCACCAGATGGGACCATGGCCGACGGTTCAGGTGGCCCACCAGGCGGGTAGTAGGGGTGGTCATTGTGTCCCTGGTAGTGGTCAGGGTGGTGCATGTAGTCCCGCGCAGTGTCGCAGTCCTCAGGCATGCAGTAGCAAGGCCCAGAGGAGTGTTGCGACAGACTGCGACTCACCTGGTAGCCCTTCATGGCCGGGGCATGATGGGCCGTCCGGGCCGAGAGGGGGCGCTGCGGGCGCGACAGGGCTGCGCCGGAGTCAACTATAGAGAGAGGGATGGAAAAGGAAACATTTTGATGAGACAGATAAGCAAATGGTAGTGTACAGTACATTAAATATAAGCATTATTCTCAAAACACGCTAAACCAACATGTCCCTTGACTTTTATGAAAGTCAATGGAATGAAAAGCATGAAGTGAAGGAAGGTACTGTTATTTATTTGATATGGGCTTTTATGGAGGACAACTGAACTAAATTAAAAACAAGAAGAAAGAACAAACCACCAATAAATGGTTAATTTTTCAGTAAATTATATCATTTTCCTTTTCAGCAATGTGCTGTTGTGTATTTTAATAACAACCACAAACAGACAGCTGACAATGCAGAACAAGGATGCTCCAATCTGTCTGGTGTAGCAGAGCTGTCATTGACCCTGAACACACATGAGTGACGGTGGGCAAACGCTGTGCAAAAATGACTTGCTATTTTCATTTGATTCACTCTAGGTTCTTTGTTGGAGTGAATAATTGTGTCACTATCTCTCAAAATCTGTTCAATTGGCCCTGCAGCTTCTCTGCTAATTCAACCTTTAATCTAGTTCATGTTCATGACTGATAAATCTGCTTATTGTTTCACAACACAATCTGTGCCCATTTTATGATCTGAATGATTAAATGGGCAAAAAGTCTGAAAGGAAATATAGCGAAATGACTTGTGCTTGTCAGGTGGTTGCCATTCATATGGGCCTGGTCTTTGAAGCAGGTCGCGTTTCCAAACGCGAGCTATTGCTGACAGATGTTGAGGTGATCATTAGATGGAGATTAGTCTGTTACTTTTAATGAGCTAAATTTGCACAGCTAGCTTGATCCTTTATGTCATGATCTCTGAGCTCAAAATAGCAGAGCGGTGCTTCACTTCTTGTTAAATATCAAATGCTGTACACCGCATGAGAGGTCATTATTTTTCCTGAGGAAGTCACTTAAAATTTGCGCTTCACAGGAATGAATTAACTCTGTGATTTCTATCCCGTCCAAAATAAAAACGTCTTTGTTTTTCACACACAGCTTTTGTAAAAGTTACAGAGTAAATTATCTAATAATTTTTGGTAAACTTATGGGGTCCTTTGATAAATGTCTGTGATTGCTGCATTGTATTTTCACATGGTTCCAACTCAGTTATTTTGGGCTTCATCGAACACTAAAGCTTGTTTTCATTGAGTACCATAACTAAACTGCTTGTTGTGGTGCCTGAAGCACCTTAATTATGGAAACTAATGGATATTATGTCAATGAAATCTAAAAAGAGACTTAAATCAAGTTAAACTTGATGAAAAGATTTTTAACTGAAATAAAAACAAAAACTAACATAACTGGGAAAAACAGAAACTAAACTTCAAATCTAAAATAAAATAAATATGGCTACAATTTAATTTCAGTTTTTGTTTTTTGATGCATTGTGCATATAATATATGATATATACTCTATAATACCCGCCTGCATTAAAAATCAAAATACCAATAGACAGCAATAACACTAAATTGTGCTGTGAATTTTAATTTTTTTATGTTAAACATTTTTAAATAATACCAGATAGCTCAATAACTTTGAATTTGATAGAAGCTAAATAAACTGAATCTCAGAAAAAAAAAACAATGATTTAAACTAATGAGTGATAAACAAATGAAAACTAATTAGAAATAAATTATACAAATTCAAAATTATAAGTCTCATTTAGACCTTTTTGATAAGTTGATGGTTGAAGTTGAATCCCATCCAACATAATAATAATAATAATAATAATAATAATAATAATAGTAACAATAAAAAAATAAAAATAAATAAGGAGAGTCAGATAATGGAAAATGCTCTAAACATAATGTTATAAATACAGTATATCACAAACATAAGTGATAAGATTGATTTCAGAGGGTATCTGAAGCGGGTGTATGTGTTTGTGTGCATGCATGTGCGTGCGTGCGTGCGTGTGTGTGTGTGTGTGTGAAAAACTGAAAGAACAAACGTTCACAATGTACATCAAGTTGCATGGTGCTGTCACATCTCTCGGCATGAATAACACACAGTCTGGAGTTTCCTGTAATTTAGTAGAGACTTCTGTCAATCAATGTCACTCAACACCACTTCAGGTGCCAGCTGGCCCCCATTTGCCTCCCGTGGCATCATCACACCGTCTCCTCCCTGAACCCGAGATGAAAATGGAGATGAAAACAAAGGCCATGAAACCCATCCCATCATTTCCATTCTCCCTCTCCTCAACAGCTCAGAGTCTCTCCAGACAATCTCTCACTCTCCGTTTCTCCCTCGTTCTGACCTACTTCTTTCACTCCGGTTTATGTGGCTGCTGCCTGTCCGTCTGTTTCATCACCCGCTGCTTGAAAGCTAGTATAAGTCTCTTTCTCTGTTTATATGTATGTGTTTCTATCCCGTTCTCACTCTTTAGACTCACAGCCCTATGTTACCGCCTTTCCAATTTACAAGCAAAGGCCAGTCATATGGAGCCATATGGAACCCTCCATTCACATATAAACACAAACTAACACTACCACCACTTCTCCAGCCATTAGGCCAGTGTACTAGAGCTAATATAATAGCTCTATAGCCTTTAAAGTGACATGCATTCAAATTAAAGTCAAGCAATTTAAAGAAAACACAGAAATTTGCACAAAATGTGTAGGAATGCATAAAATATCAATAACATATAAGCAATTTGTCAATAGTTATTTTATGTCTTAAAAATGACAAAATAAAAGAGCCTTCCTCTAGCTCAAACAGTAGATCATGGCACTAGCAATGGCAACGTTTTGAGTTTGATCCCCAGGAAAAATAAGAACTGATAAAATGAGTACCTTGAATGCAAGTCTTTTTGAATAAAAGCGTCTGTCAAATGCATAAATGTAAATGTATCATATCAGTCAATATTGGATATTTAATTGTGCATTCATGTTTCCTTACATTCTGATTACCTTAGGGCTGCCAGGCCAGGAAAAAAAGACACATTTTGTTCTCTGGCTTGAGTATTAAGCAAGCAGAGAAGAATCCTACAAAGCCAAAATACAGTTTACGGGTCAGTAGCGAAGAAAATAATGACAATAATATCAGTCAGCAGCACATTGCTATGGGTCTTTATTACAAATACGAGTGGAGATTCCAAATTCTGCCGTCAGTGTTGGTGAATGTAATTTAAATTGAACTGAATTCAGCACAGAGACAATGCTAGTGATGTAAGACTTCCGCACAGCTAGCTAAGAATGCTGTCCTCTTAATAGCTCCAGCAATTGTGTCTTTTTTTCAGACAGCGACTTTTGCTAAATCATTCATGCTAATACAAAAGAGCAGATATGTCCCAGGCTTTTCCAGAATGTTATCTTATTCTCACATAACCTTACACACATTTGCTCCCAGCGATGGCCCTATTTAGCCCTATGAGCATGTAGAGATCTCTCTCGTTAAATATTTAGAATTGTTCAACAAGGCTTTGTTAATTTTCTGTAATTGGACTGGGAGGTTGTCATTACGGATGTGAGAACATTGCAGAGCTGATAGGAGAAAATTGGATTCACTTTAGGCCTATAAAACAGCAGAGTGAGAGAGAACAGGAGAGGGAAACATCGCAGTGGTCATTATTTGCCCTGGAGATTTTATTTTTTTTTTTAAAGCTGTGCACTAACATCCTTAAACCCCCATGCCATGCAAAGCAATGATTTCTGCATGGAAACATGCTTTTCACAAGCACGGTTGGTAGTGCTGGGCGGTATACCGGTTCATACCGAATACCGGTGTTTATTTTTGTTATGATATGAATTTTTAAAATACCGCAATACCGGTGTATGTCGCTTAAACAACGTTCGGAACGTGACACTGTTTGAAAGGGGTTCCTTTTCATTGTTACACTGTGGTGAGGGAACAGCTGTATGTGTTACTAAGCATGAAAGTTCCGAAACTGAAGCTGTAGAACTAATAGAACGTGATGACACAGAAGAACTCATCCACAATATCCACACTGACCGCCACAAATATCCA